AGTACCGATACACAGCAGGACAGAATTGAGGCTTTATAGTACATGAGAGATGGCTTATCATGAGCCCATCATGCCAATGTTGCTCTTGGCATTTATGAACTCCTTTAACAGCCCTTCACCTTCACAAGCGTTTTTTTTTTATTCTTTATTTTAGTTGTGCAGGGAAAGTTACAAACAGCATTCATTGCCATAACAGCTAGGGCATGCAGAGCTTCAGACATAGGTTTATATTGGTTAGGCAGTAGAAATCATAGTACATTTTTCCAAATTAGTATCGCATAACAGATAGTTGCATCCATTCTTGTTATTTATGAGAGTAATGAATAAGGTTAGTTAAACACACAGTATTATAGACTTATCTCTATGTCGCGATGGTTTAAACTGCAGGTTATGCATGAGAGAAAGGCAACTTGTAGATTGATTAACATTATCTGTATTGGTAAGGCAAAGCTAGGGCTGATATCTACTGTGGCACAGGTTACACCCGCGAAAACCAGTGAAGCAAGGTTCGATATATGGGTCAGTATTGTTCGGCTTAACGTTTCAACTATATATTAACTATTCTCACTTGAGGGGAATCATATCGCTGAGAACCTCGTAATATCTACTAGCTGGCACTAAGTAGATACAAACAATACAGGTTAAACATACTGGTTATACCGTCATTATTGGTAATAAAATAGTACGATAAAAACAAACTGAACAAACTTAGCAGGCTCAAAGCATGTTAATTGGCTGAACATTGGTTCTAAACGACAGCTTTACAGATTATGACTAGGAAAGGTGAGTGAGGTGTATAACAGTCATGATGGGCTTGTATGCGAAGGTTGCCGTTACTATGTCAGATAGTACATTCTGCTATGTGCTGGAGTGTTCCGTACCAGGCTAGGTAGGGCATTATGGGGGCATTATGGGGGTAGAAAATGTAGTTAGGTCACCACAACAATGAAAAAACAATAGTTAGTAAAACATTAATTAGTAAACATTAAGTATCACCCCATGGGCCGTTTGAGTCTCCTTTCAGGTAGTGACAGCCGCGTAGGAGTCAGGTGTTCTCCCTTGTGGGATGAAGGTGGTGGTTCTTGCTGGATCCCAGGTGTGGGTTGAAGGGGTGGTATTGTGTGACCCCTGTTGTGTCAGCGAGTCCAGGGATAGGCCCATATCCCGCAATAGTGCCGCTGAGCTCTGGAGGACCTGAATATAATGCGTTTCGTTCCCTTGCTTGACCATTAGCATGCGGGGTTGGCGCCAGTGGTAGCGAACCCCTTGTTGTTGGAGCAATGAGGTGAGTGGTCGAAGCGATCGTCGCCAGGCTACAGTGCCACTTGATAAGTCAGCATAGAACAATATCGCCATATTTTCAAATTGGAGGGGTGATTTGCCCCGTAACGCTGTGAGGACCGCTGCTTTGTCGTTCCCACTGTGAAAGATAACTATTAGGTCCCTGGGGGCTGTAGTTGGTGCTTTGCTTGATTTGGGGATTCAAAGGAGTCCGTCCAGGGTTGTAGCTTTCACCTGCCTAGATGGTAGTAAGGCCGACAGCATGCGTCTCAAGAAATGTGGCAGTTCTGTTTCAGGGATGTCTTCCGAGACCCCTCTGATTTTGAGGTTGTTTCTTCTCCGTGTGTCTTCTAGAGCCGCAAAGCTGTGTTCATGTAGCAGGTTCTGCTGCTGCAGGTCACTTACTGCTTGGTGGAGCGTGGCAATATGCTGGGTGCTTTTTTGGGAAGTTCCCTCTAGAGCCCCAATACGGCCTGTCAGCCCCTGCAGGTCACTACGTATCACCATGATGTCCTCCAAAATATTCTTTTGCAGGTCTGCTAACAGTGCTTTTAGGACCGATGTGGTCACTGGTGAAGAGTCTGCCCCTGGTTTGTTGTGTTTTGCTGCTTGCAGAGGAGCCGGGGCGGGCATGGGTAAGTAGTCTTCTTCAGCGTTGCCAGATAACTCATCTGAGAAGTCTGAGCAGCCGCCGGAGAGAGCGGCCATCTTGGTCCCGCTGGTGCCATGTGCTTGCCTCCACATGTCCCCGATAGTAAGTACCAGTGCGAGTTTGTCTGGTGTTGGTCGTTTGGACTTGCGCCCCATATTGTTCAGGTTGACCCGGTGGGCTCTTTCGGCAAAGTTTAAGAGGTAAGGGTTCCAGATTTTAGTCGTTTTTGCCATTGTGAGCTCGGAGCTACAGGCTTGTGCGGCTGTTCGCCTCAGTGGTCAGGCTTCGCCTCCCCACAAAGTTTTTTAACCGAAGTCACACATTCTGTTTTTTTTTTTTTACATTTTATTTTTCATTGCCTGTTATATTGCTTTTGATTACACTGTCTGCTAGTTTAGCATGACTTCTCAATAGCTCTATATTGCCTCTCCACTGACATGTAGTAAATACTGTATACTCTAGTCTTTTTTCTCTATGTCTAGATTTTTTCTATGTCTAGATTACAAGCTTCAATTTATCTCAGTCTTTAGACATGTGTGCCTAATCTAATGTGACTATGTTTAACATGTCTCATGTTTCTTTTACTTTCTAAAGTTTATTCTAAAAAGTGCAGAATTCCTGATATTTCATGATTTGCCTTTATATACTCTTTATATATGTACTCTTGTTTTGAATATTTTTATTGTATGCATAACATAGGTTCATACGTCAAACTGATTTGTAACAAAGCAAGTGGTTGCCCACGCAGGGGCTCAAGCATTGGTTCAACACAGTATATAATTTTGGTTGCCTACGCAGAGGCGAATCCGTCTTAGCCTGTTTAGCTTATCCTGTTTTACATATACATTTAGTTGCCCGCGTGGAGGCGAAATTGTCTTGTCTTGTGTTTGTGTTCACATGTGGTTGCATTGTGTGTTATACTCTCATGTGCCGTGTTGCTATATTATTTCGATTCTAGCGTTAAGTAAGTGTTTTATGTTGACAGACAATGGTTTGACACTGCGTATACATTTGGTTGCCTGCGTATCGGCGACATCGTCCTGTCTTGTGTTTGTGTTCGTATGTGGTTGCTTTATGTTTTATACTCTTATGTACTGTGTTGCCTTATTATTTCGATTATAGTGTTAAGTAAGTGTTTTATGTTATCTGGTGTATACCAGTGCTGCGTGTGTGCTAATTGGTAAATGCAGATTGTCTCCCATGCAGAGGCAAACGGATTAGCTTGCTAGTTAGGGTCTGACATTAAGTAACAATTTAAGGTATCAAAACTTTTTCAACTTTCAGCATAAAGAGCGTATTTGTTTGCAATTTGTCGCCTTAATCAATACTAAAGCTATTTGGATATCAGGTATACAGTTATAGGCGACTGTCCCGACTCTCGTGCGGCAGTCAGTGGATACATATTTATCAGTGTCTACCTTTGGCCCTTATGGGCATTTTAGCATTTACTGCACATTCAATTGGTAATTTAGATACAGCATCATGTAAGCGGAATAGATGCGGACTGCATGCAGCTGTTAAAACATAGGTTGCGGGCTATTCCTTAAAAAAATTTTTTTTTTTTTTTTTATTTTTTTTTTTTTTTGCATTGAAATGGTATTAACTGAGAACATGTATAAAAGCCCCCCTGTCAATCTTTATATGTATCAAAGCTCAGTTGAGAAGCTGCTCAGGTGTCCAGAATTGCACGTGAGCTTGCTTATAGGTATAGTCCCGTAGTTGTCAGCGGTGCATGTTGTGCTGAATTATATAACTGTAAGCTATCTGCATACCGGATCGGTACGGTCCCTCAGGGTGTCGGTCTTCCGTCTGTCCACCCCTTGGACTCAGGCCCCCTCGGGGCGCTCTGCGATGCCGTGGGCACTCGGGGTCCGGGTCAGTCCATGAGACCCCCCACAAAAGTCCCAGCACTCTCCGTCCCCTGCACCTCCCCGGCGTCGTTTGCGCTGCCAGATAACATCTGGGCCCATGAGTTTCACCCGGCGCAGGCCTCACACTTAGAGCCGGTGCGCCTCCTCCCTCCCGGTCACCGGTAAACCGGAGGGGTTCAGAGCCCTCTGGCCCCACAGGACTCACTGCTTCGGGGACATCCTTCTCCGAGCCACCCAGAAACCCAGATGCAGGGTCCAGTATAGTCACCAGGGGGCAGGCCCTCCGGGGTGTCCGTCCGTGGGCCGACAGCCGTCGGGGCCCCTCGGGCCTCATACAGAAGCCTCCACATAAAGGTAGGTAGTCCACTTCGTGCGTGCTTGTATTCCATCTGCCCTTATCTGCTGGCGGGCTGTTCCTGGGAGCCTTTGCCAGTGTAGGTGATCGACCCGCACGGGCCTCCGTCGCCGCGGAGATCATCACCATGTGGCCGGGATAACCCCCACCGGCCTGGGGGGGGAGCGGGGCCGCGCCGCCGGCCGGGCCTATCCGTTCAGCTCCGGGTCCGGGTCTCTTTTTCAACGCTCGCCCCGCCGGGCCGCTTCGTCTTTCCTGCCTCCCTCCATGTGCGGCCGTGATTGCCATGTTTGCCTGCTTTTTGCTCTCTTGGTTCGGGATTGGCCCCATGTAGGTATCCTACTGGTGCAGGGTGCGTGCATTATCATTCGGTTACCGGGGTGTCCCCTTTTTGATGCTGCATGACCACTTTTGAAGTCGTTTTTTGGGGATCGTGGGACAGAGCTAAAGCTCATGGCTGCCATCCAGCTCGGCGGCCCGGCCCCGCCCCCCTGATGAAATTTTGGACATCAAACCGAAACGTTGATTTTTATGTTTTGAGCAATAAAAGCTAAGTTTTATTTTACATAAGTCCCTTGAGTGCTATCTGCATTACAAGAAACGTATGCTGACTAGCACTTGGCAATTACACTTATTACTGGGAGTGCAGGATCTATATATACATTTCTGAGCTGTCCCTTTAAATTCAACATGGTAGCATACCAAATTCTGTAAAAGGCATGGGGTGAATACTTATGCAAGAAACTATATGCTCCCATAGGGGTTTGGGAGAGGGATCGTCATTTGGTTAAAGAGGTTGACTCCAAAGTGGCAAATCATAGTTCACCAGAAGAGATCCCAGATGACATCACCCCCTACTCCCCCCTGTCAGGTACGTTGTAAATGCATCTCATAAATTGATTGCAGGTGCTGTGTGCATATGTTTATTACATCTAGTTATTAGAAAGTAACTAAATGCACCGCTCAAAAAAGACATGATTTTACTTTTTTTTTTTTTTTCTCCTGTAGACATTCCATAAACTATGACAGGTACTTAAAAAAAAAAAAACAATAGTAACCTGCAGCACCTCACATCGAGTAACGTTATTGTATTCATTGGATGCATGGCTTACATGTGTGCTACAAGTTTTAACCTGTGTGTCCGCCGTCATGGCCCTAATACAAGATGTCATTCGATATTTTAATTATCTGTATGCTGTAAATACCCAGACCTGCATTTGTTGCAAAGCCAAAGAAAATGCAAGCTGAGGGTGTTTTCAAGATTAAAAGCACAGTTAATAGTTTGTTTTCAGAATTCTATTAAAAATGTCTTTACCTTCAATGTATTATTGTTTAATATTATAGTGAACAGATAAGTTGGTAATCTTTTTGTTTAGAGAAACTACATAGTCAATTTGGTGTGTGGTCAAAGGTAGACTGTCAGCTGTTGCTGCATATCAGTCTATTGGCCTCACCTGATTTGTATTTTACTTTTTGTGCAGAATGTTTTCTTGTGTGATTATGTGGTTTTTTTTTTTTTGGTTTTTTTTTAAATTATTTTATTTCTGTAATTCTTTTCAGCCCATCAAAAACATTAAGGAAATAGTTTCCTTGTATCGTGACCTAAGCCATTATCCAACACTTTACAGTGCAACCGTTGGACCTGATGTCACTACGCAATATGGCGGCAAATATTGCAACATCTACACTGGTAAGCAATGTTATTGATTATTTCCCCCTATGCTTAGACCATGCATGGCTGTTAGATTTAAAATATATATATATATATATTCCAAGATAAAGGAGTACTCCTTCTATTGCATATGCATCTTCAGCATTAGACTCAAAGCGCTATGCCACCCACCCAAGGAGTATTTTGTAAAGATAAAATCTTTATGAAATACTCACATTGACTGTGATAGAATTTCCAACCCAGTCAAGAGTTATGCTAAAGACAAGAAGGGACTACTCAGTCTTAGTATTTTTCCTCTGCTTGACAAAACTTGACAAAAGGCGGAGCTACCTTTTTTCCAAGTCTTATCATTTCCCCCATCCGTCACTAGTGATGGCTGTAGGAAAAAAGGCTTTTCTCAGGACCTTGCATAGACCTCATGTTATGTGCACTCCTAATGACAGAAGATGATTGGCAGGAAGACCATGGCAGGACAGGTTTAGGTAAGTATAACTCACTTTATCCAAGAACCCTGCAGCCCTTGGACACCCAGCGGAGCAGTCATCAAAAGGCGACAGAGTTGCTTTATAGGTTTGCTCCAGGCACCATGACCATGTCAGCATTTTGAAGTTTTCTTTGGTGTCTGTATATGCAGCTTTTCAGTGCACACTGATATATTTAAGTTTCCTGCTGATGTATAAGTCCAACACTGTCAGTAGTAGTTCAGAATGAGAGTTCTTGGTCTGGCTAATGTAAATTCCATGGCAATGGCATCACAGCAAAAGGCTAATGGCACCACAGTCCACCTTCATCATGTGACCTAAATACTCCCATCCCTTAAGCCCATCCTCCGGGATGTCCCGTCTCCTTCAGTAAGGGCAGATAATGCCACTAGAGGAGGATTGAGCTACAGTGAGAACTTGGTCTTGAACATTCTAGCAAGGCTTAGTTAATTTAAAAGTATGTTTTTAATTTTTTTAAATTGCTACTCCAAGTTTAAATATGTGTTTCTTATTATTAAACCAACTGGTATTTCTAAAGTGCCAACGTATTTCATAATATTGTTTATGTGCACAAATAAGTATAATGTATCAGCATTTGCATGCAGTATGATCAATGTCTCTTCGCTTTGTTCTGTTTCAGAGTGGACACAGAGAGATCTTGATCGCAACGAGCAAGTAAAATTTTGCCGACAGTACATAGTGTTCCATGATAATAACACCATTGTGTATTCAGGTGCCTGTGGGAATAGCTGCGAGATCAAGGGAGAGTAAGTAGATTGCACAAGAACAAGGGAGCAATTTAAAATCGAGAGGGAGTGGGTGCAGTATGAGGCTGAATAAACGGAGAGCTGTGCTCTCTAAACTCGGACCTATGGAGAAAACATAGAACTGTAAGAAAAAACCTAGTTGGAGAATTTTTCCAGTTTGGTTATTTTTCCTAACAGATGCAATCACTTTTATCAGTTCTCCATAATTTCTGGTTTAGTGGCACAGGGCACTGCTCCAAGGACAAGTGCTAGCTTACATCACACCTCCATTCTGCAAAAAGTGGGAACATATTCAATGTAAAGAAATGGCAAGATTTCCTAGATTTTTTTAGTAGAGCTATTTTGTTTCTAGCTTGGCTGTCCAAATAATTTGCTTGTCTGTTATCCATCATGTTAACCCTGTCATGTTTTGAATGACTGCTACCCTACCAAACTAGCCAACATCTACATTCCATACCCATTATATAGACACAACAATACAAAATGAGTGTCCCTGGAGGAGGGGATGGGGCATAGAGACCCTTTGCAATTTCATGTGTTACCACAGTGCAACTCGTAGTCAAACACATCACAGCATTCCCTAAGGCTGCTGAGGAGATAAAGGGCGGTGCGGGGCCTCTCTACACAGTGGAGTAGACTGCACTGTCTCTTCTGTAACCCTGCTTCCCTGAGGGCTGCCTTTGTTAGCCTTTTGCTGGTGAAGAGAGAAAGGTATTAGGGAGGTTCACCATTTAATAGCCCAAGACTCAGTAGTGACTAGTGTGTACCTGGTTTAGTACCAGCTCTAACAGACTGAATTATTTCAGGCAGCCCAACTCGAACACTTTGTGCTACTCTTTATACAAAATTACCCAAATGGGGAGTCCACCTTTTATGAGTTAATTGCACGTATGCTGTTCCTACTGTATTAACACATTATATCAGTGATGTTGTCTCTAGAAGGGGGGGGGGGGTGTGATTTAAGTGAGGTGTTGGATGAGAGCGGGTGAAATAAAATGTTTATCAATACACTGCATATCATCCAATCAACCCATGTCAACAAAAAAATGCCATAACATCCTGCTGTGATGGTATCTGCACCACACCAGAATGGGAAAGATCCATTCAGGTATGACTTCATCTTGTTTCAGGAGATGCGAGGTGGGTACATACATACATGGTCGTGGTGTCCTAAGGTTTAGCCACTATGGCCGACCTTATTGGAAAAGCTGTCTCGATGCCTTTTTGTGACTCTACCCCCTAGAGCCCTATGTGGCCTTTCTTAACAGGGAATAAAAGAACAGTTCCTTATCCCGTGCAGCACATAAACGTATGTATAAAGTCTGCGCAGCCTTATGACTGCTTGACCAAAACATTGAAGGGCTATCCTGCAGCATCTGCACAGGTGGAAGTTAGTATCTCGTATATTCTTAAATTGAAAAACATGACCATCTAAATGAGACTAAGGACCACTTTCTCAAAAATTGGACCCATGTCTGGAGGTTTTTGCTCCTCTGGACTCCCCACTAGACCTTCTGGTGGCATAGTTTTGAGGGGGGGTCCACCACCCACTCACTTTGCTAGGGGACACCTTCCCACTTTTCCCAACTCACCCCTTTACCTTGTCTTTCCCATACTGCTTAAGACCAACATGGCACTGTATGTCAGGGATTCCACTTGTGAGGACACCTGCCAAGGTATTTTATTACTTGTTGCTGTTCTTCTCCACTGGGAGATTTATTTCTAATACCTGACTTTTAACTTGTTAAGCAAAAAATTCAATGAACTTCTCAATTACAAAAAGGAAGCTAAGGGTATGATTTGATATTATTGTTCCAGGTCCTTCAGAACCTTTTGTTTCTTGTTAACACGTGTAATAATTTGTTTCTTTGTTTTCTCTTTTACTCCTTTTGTAAAATGCTAATATGATGGAACAGTTTAACTGGCATTGTTGAATAAATATACAATATGGCTCAAAATTTCAAGTCCTATGGTGCTAGCCAGGTATTAAAAGTCACTGGCCACAGATCTTTCATGTCTCACCATTGGTGAATTTCTATTCACCAGCGCAAAATTTTCACTTGCCAATGGCTAGTGGCAAGTGTAAATTTTGAGCCCTGTAACATATATGTCTCTGTGTGTGAGGACAACAGCTAAAAACATTATCTGCCGGCTGAAATAATGGACAGATCAGATATTTATTTCTGGCATCAGGAAAAAAGTTACTTTTATATATATATTTTTTTTTTTATATCCCTCCCCCAGGCTGCTCAGCAAAGAGTCCCTTTCTGGATCACTGAAAGCTGTCCTACGAGACACCACCAATGCCAAAGGGGAAAGCACGCAGTTCTTGGAGGTAAGAGGAACATATAGATATGGGGAAGGGGAGCAGTCGTTTCTTAATGAATACCAAGAGCGATCAGATGAGTGTTTGTGTTTCCCAGCTAGCTGTTATTTCTTCCTTGTCTAGGTGTGGGACAAGAATTGCAAAATAAAGAGCATCAACCTGACCTCTCTCGATAAGCATGGGAAGGTGTATGAGGATGGTGAGTTACATTGTATCTGCCTGATACAGGTTCCTTGCTTCCACAGAGACTGTAATGGGGATTAATAACACTCTGTCAGTGGGGTATGCAGGATGTGACTGATCCCCAACATAGTGGGAGGGATTTTTATCTACATCTTTGGTTTATTAAATGACCTTCCGATCTGGCACTTCTCATACCAGTATGAGAGCAGGTTAGTTATTCTGCCCATGCGTTGCCTGTTTTCTTTAATATATTAAAGGGACACTATAGTGTTAGGGATAGTAATATGTATTCCTAACACTATAGTGCCCTAGTCGTCATTTAGGTGAAAAAGCCTGCAATGCCAGGGTTAAAAAAATTGTGCAGGTCTCCTCAGTGAGATTCCACCTCTTTGGCTGAGATCATCAATGTTGATATTCCCAGCCAATCTAGTGCCATAGCATTGGGAGGCTAGTGCTCATGTGTGGCAAAATGCAGAGCTATGCAAATCAGATGGTCTCTCTGGAACATCTGACTGAAAGTTTTACTTTACTTTGCTATTATTACAGAAGCTCCTGTAGTGGCTGTCAGGGACATTCACTAGAGGCAGGTTAATCCTGCAAAAAATAAAAACGCAGTTCCTGGTGATTAACAATCAGGGTTAAATCAGGGGGCACATGGCACCCAGACCACTCACTTAGATATAGTGTTCCTTTAAATATGTGTATTGTTTAAACAGTATCCTATCATTTCAATGGTTTCTTATATTGATTGGGGGAAGAAGTATTGCTTATGGTACACCAAGATAATTGAATGGATTCTGTTGTTCATCTGTTAGGCTTTGTGAACTTGTCCATTCTCTGATAAACACTAATCATCATCTCTTCTAGACCAGTTTGGATGTCTGTCCTGGTCCCATTCCGAATCTCATCTATTGTATATTGCCGAAAAAAAGAGACCCAAAACAGAAAGCTTCTTCCAGATTGATTCTAAAAATCTTGGCTCAGGAGTGTCTGATGGGAAGGAAGATGCTATCCCAAAACCTATCAAGGTAAAGATAGCATTGCACGATCCTTAATAACTAGCTCACATACAGTTTTTACACACTTGTAGAAGAAAGGAATCCTTTAAATTGTACCTTAGGGCAGTGAATAAAAAATACCGCTCCACAGTTTGTAGAATTCATATGCTTTTGGAGGGAAATCACTCAGTGAAGGAAGGATCCTTGATTAGTTAATTAACTTCCCTTCTACGGGGTACGACTTCTACATATGGCATTGTAAATAATGCCACCAATGGTTCTAGAAACGTCCTAATAAATTATGGTTTACAAATTTCTGCAAAACCCAGAACATACATTTCACTACTATATATATTTCATGTTACGTGATATTTGTAGGCTTGAACTTGTGTGTTGAGGGACAAACTTTGCACCAAAACCACTGCATCATAATGTAGTGGTTTGGGGGCAGAAACTCCCTCTTTGCAGCAACAAGAGACTCTTCTTTGTTAAAATTTCAGTAACTGTAATTGGGATGTGGAGTGAGAGGCATAAGTGAGGGACGTGGAGAAACGGCAGTGCAGAGAATAGTGAAGCCAAAAAATGAAAACATTTATTCAGCTCCATACACTCCACCCTAATACTGTCTGCATTCACACAAATGCCACACATATATACGTCAGCATCCCACACAGACACGACAAACATATATACCCTTACATTCACACACATGCACCACAGAAATGTAGCCCTGCGACCCCAAATACACATAAACACACCCCTGCATCCACAAGTAGACAGATCTATTCACTTTATACACATACTCACTCTCTTACATACCATGCAAAATGGCATAGCATATAGGATCATGGAATGAATGTGGAATAATCTGGCTTGTATGACATTGGAATGGAATATACAGTAACACAGCAAACTGGATAAGTGGATGGAAAAGTAGATTATATAGCACATGGATCAAGAAAAGGAATATAAAATCCTGGCTAGGAATATTCCATGGTGTGTGATTGTGGGATTCAGTATAAGATTATTTTGCTTTTGGGATCAAGAGGTTAAAGGGAAAACAAGTGAGTCAAAGCAGGAGCCAACTGAGGTCCATGTGGGTCAAGAGTTTGATCCTGTGTGTTATGAGGAGGAGTTTGGGAGAGGCAAGGTGTGACGCTTTAAGGAGGTCATCAAATTTTGTTTTGGGCTCAAGGCCTAGATTTTTTTTTATTTTTTTTTTATTCGGAATTCCCTTTTTGTATTTTTAACTCTTCAGGGTGATCAGTTTGTGTTCCATGAGGACTGGGGAGAAGGCCTGGTAAATAAGAGTGTTCCAGTTTTGTGTGTTATGGACATCGAGAGTGGCAACATTTCTGTACTGGATGGAATACCCGAATATGTGTCACCAGGACAGGTGAGACTTCCCTTTTGTTTTTTTCTGTCTCCTGTGATTTTTGGATTTTTAACAATCCTCTCTATCATTCATTTTATTTATTGTTTTTTTTTTCATTTTTGGTTCTTCATTAAGTTTGATACCATAAATAACTAAAATATATTTATATAATAAAGACACACTCGGGAGCCAGGTGGTTAGACTTGAGTGAAATAGAATCTAACTTAATGTGGCTCTGATACCTCAAACATACCTATTTCAGAGTCTGTTCTTTGTGTCTTTATTTCTAATCTATTTGCCCTTAAGACATAAGTCAAAGTAGGGACTTCTTTGTCGTATGCATTTTTCCTACACCTGACAATTGTGACAAAAAGGTGGAGTTTAAGGCATGCTCCACTTCCCATGTCAAGCTAGCAAATACCTCAATCTGAATACTTGTTGGTGTTACACTTACTGCACATTACAGCATGAGTGAAATGGAGTTCCTGGATCTTATCATCCATCTAGAACAGGGATAGGCAACCTTCGGCACTCCAGATGTTATGGCAAAGCATCATGGGAGGTGTAGTCAAAAACATCTGCAGTGCCGAAGGTTGCCTATGCCTGATCTAGAAGATAGAAAACTAATACGAAAACCCATTTTGAAGAAGTCATCGTTAACAGTTTTCTTAAGAGAGAGTAACCAATTCAGTGACTTCCTGCAACTGAGAATAAACTGTTTATGGACAAAGAAGAATATAAAAAAACAAACAAATTTGAGGCTCAGAGCCATTGAGAAAGTTGAAATGTGTTTGGCTAGAGTCTGCTTTTATTGCTACGAAAGTCATAAAAATCTGGAAGGCAAAATTGGCTTTGTTATATGAACTTACACTGAATCTGAAAAAGTAGCTAAATAGAATTCTCCTCTAATGTGAGATCCGCATTTTATGATATGCTTGTAACTGTACAATGCTATTGGCGACTTTTTGTCTTTGATCTTCCTCTTCATTACCTTTTCTCTCCACTCTAATAGCTCTCAAAATTAAATCCAATTGGGTACACAGTGAATTAGATCTAAGTCTACATTGAAGGAGACATAATCATTAGGACTGTTAAAGTTTCTACATACAATTTGGGAGTTATTGCTTACAAAATATAAAATTGTAAATATACACGTTTTATATTTTACATTGCATATGCTTGTACACATAACTACCTACCTGCATGATAGGTTAGATGTATATCCTACTTATAGAACTGCTGCCCCTAATGGATTTCCTACACCATAATGCTATCCTAAGTTAGTCTATTAGATTTTTGCTTTTAAACATCCCTAGATTTGAGTATGTGTAATATACCTTGACTATACTTTGGGTGTGGTACTTGTGGTAATTTTTTAAATTAATTGATTTATATATGTGTATATATATTCTCCTTTTGCACTTCAACAAAATATTTAGTTGTATCTAAATTGTAAACCAAATGTATTTGCATAAAACAAATTTTGGTTGCAATCATAAAAAAAAACGTGAATAAATTATGGGTGTACACTCTGGGAATTGTGTATGGATGAGTCCGGTAGTGAAGGGGTTAAGCTTCATATGTGCATGTCTTTTGGACTAAATGTTTGGTGGGAAGTTAACTAGCCCAATATATAGGTTCAATTTGTATATCTACATATATGATCTTGTAGTATTTTTTGCAGTATAATGTTTATTAAACTTTGAGATTAAATTGCAAAATAAGTGTGAGAGGAAGCTGAACAGTGTTGCCATATAAAACTAATTGACCGTAAGAAATCTCCAGAAAGATGAAGATAAGACTAGGAATCTAACAATTAAAAAAAAAAAATGGAAAAGGAAAAGCAGCAGGTTTCTATGTATAACTATTTCTGCGTTTCTGCTCCAGGGCACGTTTTTTTAGAGATTTTTTTAGCAGTTTTAAGTTCCACTTTTGGCTTTGGTTTCACCTCCTTGTTACATCGAATCCCTTTTTCTTTACCATAGGCATTCTGGTCCCCTGATGACACTGGAGTTGTGTTTGTCGGCTGGTGGCATTCCCCTTATCGACTTGGCTTAAAGTATTGCCCCAATAGGAGGTGAGATTTGCCCCAAATGTGAACCTTAACATAGCACTTTTTCCAATAATCCCACTGACCTGATTTTTCTACTCCTAGATCTGCACTGTTTTTTGTGGACCTGACTGGCGGCAAATGTGGTGAGTGAGTAGGATTGGTGCAGTTTGAAAATGTTATTCTCTAATCCAGGAATAGTTGGAGAATTGGCAAAGGAATTGCACATTTTAATTTGTGCCCATAAATGTTATTGCTTTGAGAGCACATTCCAAAATTAAAGTGCTCTGGATAAATGTCCATACACAGTCTGTCGTGTCCATACACATCTTGTGTGATGCATATCCTGTGAATAATATAAAGTGACACTCCACCGCCTAAATACAAAATAAATAAAAATCACTCTGTAGTAGATATACCCCAAATTTTTATTGCGGTGTGTGTATATATAAAAACATCTTGCAAAAGTTGCTGTTCTGTCTTTTGCAAGCCCTCCCCTTCTAACTCCATCCATATTTTCCATAGCTGTCCAATCACAGGCTTCCTATTGCAGCTCAATGATAATTCTTTGCAAGGCTCTGGGCTATTGCTGCCTCTTGAGTTTAGCTCCACTGAGCTAACCAAACCAGGAAGTAACAGGGCCAGTTGTCTACTTTAAAGCCAGGGGAGTGTAATCAGGTTCATTTATAAAAGTGTCAATTTATTTTGAAAGCTGCCCTTTTTGCAAAATTAAATAAGGATTATACACTCGTCATACATACAGCTGTTTAACAAGCTAAACTGATTTTGGGGTCTGGAGTGTCCCTTTACACAAGATTTTAGAAAGACTTAACATACTGGCTGAGCTACTAAGAAGTGCAAGGTTGGGATTTATAAACAAAGAGATAGTTTATCAGATTATTCATCAAGAATGGAATCTGTCAACAAGGTGGTTATATGAGGGGGCATAACTAGCACACAGGAAACAAGTGTCCAAATGATCAGTCTTAAGGGCATGTGTAAACATTTTATGGATTAGGTCAAGGTGCCAGTGGGACAAAAGTTGAAGTCTTTCCTTCATGTGTATACATGTGGTGACTTAATTTTTTAAATTTTTTTTTTAATTGTTTGGTATTGGCAATCATAATGTTTTATTATTCTGCTAAATACTGACATCAACTATACTTCCAGTCCTGGGTTTTGTTCATCACAAACAGAAACATGAATTGTTATGGAATAAACTATTCCATATATTGGCCTAAACTTTGAAAATCACTTTCAAATCCCGACAGTACACATTTTAGTGAATCCCTGTCTGCTACTTTTCTAGCTTAGTGTAAAGTTAAAAAGCTCTATTTTTGTGAATTCTCCTTTATGTATTTATTTATTTTGTAATGTTTGCCTTCCCGCCCACCACCCCCTTTTTTTTTTTTGACCCTCCTGCCTTATTTCAGAAACACTCTCCACGGACTCGGCTTCTGTTTTTTCACCCAGATTGAGCCCTGACAAGTGCCGTATAGTATATCTAATGTGTGAACAATTTGGACCTCATCAGCAGTGCTGCAAACTGCTTATGGTTAGTATAATCTTTTCCATACACTTTTTCTACCCTGTTCATTTCCAGCTAATCTACTGATTCACAGGTTTGGCATGTCTATTTATATAATTATGTGCCTGGCATGTATTTGAATTTTAAGAACTTTATTGAATCTGACAATAATGGAGTATATTTATCTCAAGTGTTCTGAAAAGCGATGATTCAATTCTGTCCTTATTTTGATCATATGTCTTATAGCAACAAAAAAAAAAAGAGTACAAGAGAATACTGAGAATTGACAACAGCTCAAGTAGCCTGCCCTTTGGTGGGTAACTGCTGAGATCACAAGCTGTTTTAGCTCATTACAAAGAAAACCTAGGCCTATTGAATATGATATAAAATTACCAAAATGAGCGCACTTGAACTGATGACAAAATAGTTTCAAAAATAGACATATATATATATATATACTCCAAACAAGCTTATACAACACACAATAAGTGCAAAAAAACCCCAACAATTTAAGTGCATAGACAAAAAAAAAAAAAAAAAGTGTATAAGTGCTTTAGAGGTGATGAGGCACTCAGTTCAGCTGCACTGTACCACAGTGACACAAAACGTAGTTACAAACCAGATAAAATTACCGAAATGAGCACACTTGAACTGATGACAAAATAGTCTTCAAAAATAGACATATCTATTCTCCAAGCAAACTTATACAGCACACAATAAGTGCAAAAAAACAACAATTAATATAGGCAAAATAAACAAAAAGTGTGTAAGCGCTATAGAGGTGATTGAATATAAGACTGTTCCCACCCAAAAGGGCAGTCTAGATCCAAAATGCAGGCCGTCTCTCTTTGCACGAGTGTCTGGATTACAAGTTGATCCAGCACGCAGTACTGTGTCACACCTAGGACTAAGGATAAAGTATAACCAGACCTTAGAATGGCCGGACTTAACGTCTCCAAGAATAATCAAAATACTTGCCGAGGTCACGGACACAGAATCAGACACAAAAATGAGGGAAAGCCAGAAGTCAAGGATACCAGATATCAGGGAAGTCAAAACAAAGCCAAAGTCAAATACCAGAAAATCAAGATCAGGAACGCACTCTCGGTTAACCATAGGCATGAAACCACGACAGGGCAATGAGCAAGAGGAGAGTTGGGTTTAAATAGACATCCTGTGGATTGGCTGTAACCGGCTGTAACCGGCCTTTGAACCCAAAGGCAATTACCAGGTGTGTATGATTGCTGCTCAGCACAAACCCTCCTGTGGATTTGATTGGCCATGACCGGCCTTTGAACCCAGAAGTAATTACCAGGTTTCCATGTGCATGATTGCTGCTTGGCACAACTTTTCCTGTCAGGACGGTAATGATGCTCGGCACAACTTTTCCTGTCAGGACAGTAAATGCCATTAACCACTTTTTTATGTGTGGATGAATACATGACAACGAGAGCTACAGCAACCCCATGCAATCATTTTGGCCTTGTTAAGCTTCGTCAGTGATGAGGATTCCATGGTCACTGTACCTTGAAGGGGTATCAGCTACACCTCACGGACGAGGCCTAAAGTAGGCCGAAACGATTGTCTGGAGTTGCTGTATTTCTCGTGCAGAGGGAACTTGCTGGCATTTGGTTCTGGACTGCCCTTCTTGGTGGGATCAGTCTGATATGGAAATTGTATAGTTTACCTTTGTAATAGCACAAGTGAGCAAAAACATGTTTAAACCTTTGTGGGTTTCTCCCAGCTTTTGCCCGTTGTCAAAGTTATCATATTCTCTATATTTGTTAGTGTTCTAAAAGTTATCTAAAAAGTGACAGTTTTCTCCATAGTAAATTCTGCCAGTTTTCACAGAAGTTCTAGAATAAAGAGAAGTGAAACCGAAAACTTTTCTGTTGGAAAAAGTAGGGGAGGGATTGATAAATCCTTTTGCTTTGCTAAATAAATGGTGTAGATTAAAAAAAAATGGTGTTCGGACATAAAAGAACAAATAAAAAAACCTGACAGATATAATAAATTGCTGCAAAAAATTGCCGACAATTAGAAGTGAAACTGTCTCCGTGATAAATCTCCCCCATTGTTCTAATATATTGCATACTAGTAATATTCTGAGGGTGGAGATTGCTTACCAAAGTCGGGCTGTACACTAAAGTATGAATTATAAGGAATTCAAATTGAATTAAAACGTTTAGGCCAAAGTAGAGTAAAACATAGCTGGCATTGTCAAATTTATACAGAAAAATGTCCAATGGATACAAAGTCCAGAGGACACAAAGAAGTCCCTATATTTATAAGCCGCCTTCATTGCTACAGAACCCATTCTACCCCTTCTACATTGCAAAGCTTATTAGCGTCTGTTTTTTATTTTGTGTGTATTTATAAGTTTCCTTTTTTCCTCTTTTGTTGTGGTTTATTTATTTGTTTTTTTATTATTATCTAATAAACGGAATTTCTAATCATATTGCATAATACATGATTTTCATATAGGGACTTCTTTGTGTCCTCTGGACTTTGTATCCATTGGACATTTTTCTGTATACAATTTATCTAATTCTTAGGGTTACCCCCTTTAACCCCTTAAGGACACATGACATGTGTGACATGTCATGATTCCCTTTTATTCCAGAAGTGTGGTCCTTAAGGGGTTAAGTCCCTTTACACACTCCAGGCCCCCTCTGGAGGTCCTCTCTTTCTCTTGTCCATTGTCAAATTTAGCCAAACTGGAAAAAGTGTCATTCACTTTGACAGTCTGACAATTTACATTAGTGAAAAGTCACTGTAAAATGGACAATTCGCCTGTAGCACTGGGCATAAATTTTTACTTACAAAAGCCAGAATTACAATTGTACTTACAAAAGCCAGAATTATGCAAAATAAACAAGGGAATTTAGGACAGTAGAGACAAGTTAGACAAAATTACTTAAAGGACCACTCTAGGCACCAAGACCACTTCAGCTTAATGAAGTGGTCTGGGTGCCAGGTACAGCTAGGGTTAACCCATTGTTTTATAAACATAGCGGTTTCAGAGAAACTGCTATGTTTATCAATGGGTTAAGCCTTCCCCCAAAGCCTCTAGCGGCTGTCTCATTGACCGCCACTGGAGGCGCTTGCGTGCTTCTCACTGTGATTTTGACAGTGAGAGCACGCCAGCGTCCATAGGAAAGCATTGATAATGCTTTCCGATGCGACCGGCTGAATGCGCGCGCAGCTCTTGCCGCACGTGCGCATTCAGCCGACGGGGCGTATTGGAGGCGGAGAGGAGGAGGAGAGCTCCCCGCCCAGCGCTGGAAAAAGGTAAGTTTTTACCCCTTTCCCCCTTCCAGAGCCGGGCGGGAGGGGGTCCCTGAGGGTGGGGGCACCCTCAGGGCACTATAGTGCCAGGAAAACGAGTATGTTTTCCTGGCACTATAGTGGTCCTTTAACCGGAGAATAGTTGTGGAATTGACTACATTGTTTTTGCTAGTCACAGTTTATTTCTTAAGTATTTTTTTTTATTTTTATTTATCATCTATATTATTTAATTTAATTTTACTTTATTTGTTTCCAGTATGATTGGTATACAAAAGTGACCTCCACTGTGGTAGATATTGTGCCCCGAAGCACTGGTGGTGAGTAAAGAGATTTGTATATTAATTATGAAAGTATTTATATTAATGATATATATTTATTTTTAAAATTAATTTTTTTTAAAAATGTTTCCTGCAGATGATTTGTTGCATGATTATGTCAAAAAAGTGGAAACGATAATGATAATAGCACATCTTTTAATGTTTAATATTTGTTAAATAAATCATTTTTCTTTATTATTATACCTTGTCTCAGCCATAATGTTTGTGCTGTTTAGATTTGGAAAAGATGGAGACTCTATTTCAAAAGTGGATGTAGTGGTAAATCCATTGGTAACTTGACTAGTATAAAGGAGACCATGGACTATGTGGGGATATTTATGGGATAATAATAGTAAACAGTTGAGAATTGCCCACTAATTCAATTCTCAGATCCCAAAGAACGTTTATCGTAAGTGAGAAATATTTCATGTAATAATATCACAATGTATAAAAATAGATTTTTATTTATAATGACTAATTAATAATAATATGTAACATGCGTGATAATAATCAATGAATATTCAGTATAAAATGATATGCAATACAAAGAAATGGGTATTACGTTTCAATGGCTAAAACAGCATTATCTGTCAAGACTTCTGATGATTTATGAGGTATCCTTAACACAGACTGAAAGTGAAACTTTTCACAGTGAAGAACAGAATTCCTCAGAGTGCAGCATAAGGTCGTAAAGTTTAGCTGACAGTTAGAATAACCCTTTCAATGCTGGCTAGATCTCCTAGGTAGTTAAGATCTATTCTTATGTAATTTTAAATAAAATAACATTTAAACCAGTTCATTAGTCATTTCCTGGAACCATCAAATAAGAGAATCTACCATATTTTATAAGCAGATTTTAATTTGTCTAAAAGATATCTTATCTTAATTTAGAGCAAATCAATACACCTGGATAAAAACAGCGGTATGCTAACACGTGATAATATCACATCAATATATAATTATTCTTAATTCCACCTGCAGAATGGAATGTTTATAACTATATATTCTTTAGTTAACTAAGATTTCCTAATATGGAAATCTGACCGTGCTTTATCCAGTCATATATAATGCTATTAATACATTTTAATTAATTTAATTAATTAAATGAAATCAGTATAATTACCAGTTGAGTAGATATTTCATCCGATTGGTAGTCTCAGGAACTTATTTGGATGTCTCTCTGCATGGAGGTTGGAGTCCCCAAACTTCCAATTCCTCTCTCCTCTTTTTCCTTCTCCTTTTCATCTCCTGCATACCCTGCATATCTCTATCTTCCGTTTGTCTTAACTTTTAAAGGGCCAGACTCTCTGTACGTCATCAGTTGATAACCTAATAGAAGCACTAGAGGTGTGGTTATCTTCCGGATCGCAATTTAGTTATTTGGTGTATAGAGGGCAGTCTTGTCCCACTAAACATACCTATCCAGGAAAGCGTTAACTTTTCCTGGTGGCTATTTTGACGTCATTTTGGCCTATCTAGATAGTGGCCATAACTTACGTATCCTTCACAGATCAAAGGGTTTATTTAAGTTTTGTCCAGACTATGTGTCTAGCAATCTGAGTTTTGACCCGAAACTTACAATGGGACCTTATATGTATAGACAGTTAAATTGTATTATTTAATCTTCTCTGTCACAATTGTCTGGGTTTAGAATTGATTATATTCTTCTTATCATTTGTTTATACTATGCTATGCATTCCTTAGCTCTGGCAAAGTGGCTAGTCTTACAGAAAGAAATCTTGTGTCTTTTTGTTAACTTGAAAATAACAAAATGGAGTCTGGTCTGTTCAGAGTGACTCAGAATATACACTTTTAGTTTCTATCATAGCACAAAATGTCTGCCGATATAAATACCCTGACAACTATAAGGCTAAGTCTTCTTCTCTCTGCAGAATTATTTTTTTTAATCTGCTGCTTGCCAAAACCATTCTCTTATTGCAGGAGCTTCAGTCACTAGAATTGAAGACCATTATCTTCACTGAGCAGAGGAAGCTCTCATGGGAGATTCTAAAAAAGAAAGCATTAATTGCCACATCAAGAACATAGCGAGATATTGTAGTAGAAGATTTGCGTGGCATTCCTATTTACTGCACATTTTAGTATTATTTAAACAGTAGTATACAGCTTGAGGCATGATGTAGGCTAATGACAAATACAGAGCATAACTAAAAGAGTATGGTGTAACATACTAGAGAAATATTGTAAAGAGTAGAACCACTGGAATTAGGTTTATCAGTAGATTAGGCTGTTGCACTACACACAAAAGTAAAAACAATTAAAATATATTCAACTGATACAGTTACCCTTAGCAAGGCATACACATTATGTAAGACGAGATGGCAACTTCTGTTCCATCTTTCTCCTGGTTATGAGTGCAGATCATGCACTTAGGGGATAAAAATTTGGAAGTGCGCTTGGTCGATGTACAATAAGGTGGAATCATATTCCACAGGAAAGAATCTCAACAGAACGAAATGGGGTCAAGCAGACTGGTAACCCATCCCCTCAATATTCCAACAGATGAAGGTTCTGTTTGGCAGACTTGTAATAGATCACATGGCTTCATGCAAAACCAGAAAAGTTCATCACTTATTATTGTTATTATTTATAATTTTCTTTCAACAAGAGACAAGCCAGATTTGTATGGATGATGTCTCAGTCTCTTGGTATTTTCAGCTAACCTGTTTATTCCCTCCTGTGTACTTCCCATTGTATTGAGGAAGATTAGACAGGACAGATTAGCATGTATAACCATCTGACTATTTTGACCCAGGAGACTGGTTTATGGACCTGATAGAATGTTTGTGAGGGAGTTAATGGAAACGTCACAGCCTTCCAAGCAGGCTAAAATCCATTAAAGTTTCAATAAAAAAACCTGTTAACTCCACCCAATGATGCTAAAGGAACACTCCAGTCCTTGTAACTACTTCATCCCAATTAAGTTGTTATTGGGGGCTGGAGTTCTTGGGTATCCTCTTACCCTATGTTGTTAAACTGGTTTTTTTTTTATTGTTTAACACAGACATTGCTGCTCAGGTGGTCATCACACCCCACCCCCTTAGTTTTCCCCTCAGCTACTGTGGTAAAAAGGAAGCATTGACTGGTTGTCGTGTGATTGGCTGAGAGCCACAGCTGATGCTCTCAGCCTATCACTGGCCATTCCATGAGAGTAAAAGGGTTACCATTGATAGGCTGAAAGCATGGAAGAGGGTATTTACAGTAAGAAATCATTTTCTGCTCCTGGTGCAGTAGAATATTATGTATCTTTATATATATATATTTTTTTTATTATTGTCCCTTTTCTTGCTTCCTTTCCCCCAGAACATTGTTATACCCCCATTCAGTGAAGTGAATCATAGTTACTCAACATCTTTTTTTCTTCCCAGGGCAGTTTGCAGGTATTTATGGCACATTACTCGCTTCATTCTGCTGGTCTGCAGACAGCCAACGAGTGGTTCTTGATACGGTGCAGCGCAGTAAACAGGTTAGTCATGGATGAATACAATGTACTGTGGATATACAGAATCCATATAATTATCTAACCGATCTTGTTTGTTTCAGAGTCTGTTTGTTGTGGATATAATAAATGGAAAGCTGACACCACTCCAATCCAAAGGTAAGAATGGATATTGGACAATATAATAAAATGTTTGTACTGGTGAGATTAAAATGTGCTTCAGAACTTAAATATAGAGGAACTGAACTCTAGTGGATGATTCACATGGGGTGGTGAAGGAATACAGTGAAAATCTTTAATTCAATTAATACCTTTCTGAATGGTGTAGAGTAGAGCAATGATGACTCACCTTGGCAGCCTAGGTTTTTGCAAATTAAATTTCCCATGATGCCGCATCCCAAATATTAGCCACAGCTGGTCTGTCTTTTCTCGTTAGATCTCTAAATTAGAAAATGTAAATTTAGTTTTTTTACCTTTTCCTTTTTATTTAAGGAAATTATCCACCAGGATCCTGGAAGGTGTTGGCTATTGACAGAGATCTACTTGTTACCTCATTTTCCTCTCCAAACCACCCACCTACAATAGTAATACCTGCATACTTTTATTTTTTTTATATTGATATGAATTTATAAAGTTATGTATTTATTTTTGTAAAGATGGAACCATGTCTCACGAACTGTGCTACTAAGGTTCTTCTTATCTGTGCAGAAAGTGGGGTTCTTACCCCCTAATGGCAAAGAAGATGACATCGCATGGGTTTCATTGAAGGAAGATAATTCTGGTTTTAATATAGATTGGAGTTTCAAAGTCCATCAACCTCCTCAAGAACAGGAGAACTCAAAGTATCGTAAGTGACAGCGGAGAACGAATTGCATATGATATAGTAGTTATTTTCCACTGAAAGTACATCTTGTTCTGACTTACGTTTGTATAATTAAGGTCTTCTTCTTTTTACTTAACTACTTGCATATTCCTGTATGTGAGGCTTGTCCTGAGCTGAGCTTTTCCCCGTAAAGGACCTCAGCACAAGCCTCACATACAGAACTCGTACCAGTCTTCAAATTCTTCTTTTATCCTAGGAATTGAAACTACTGATGTCCTGAGGTACTACTGAGAGCTGTCCATCATACTGAGGACTAAGTCTATTTAAGGCTATAATGCTAGTTTGCACAATCAAGATATATGTCCTATTGTGCCACTGATTTAGTATGGTACCTTATACTGAGCTGTAAATATATCACCACACTAGTGATTGTGGCACCCTGAGCTTTATATCTCTTGTAGCTATACGGATTTGGTTTTATGTTTTAATGCACTCCAAAGCTGAGATCCAAGGAAACACAAAGCTACAAAATAAGGTGAAAGCACACCTAAATGAGTGTGTAAGTGACGTGGAAATCTGTTTATCTGGTGCACAGAGCACATTTCTTTGTGTTGACACACTAATTGAAACTTATGTACAATGTATATATTTGTCTTACTGATATGTTTGTATTACTTGTGGTCTGCATGCCTATAATTTCTTGCCTTCACAAATGCAATTTCTCAATAAAACAAAAAAGATTTAAATATATATATATATTGGTGTTATGTATGAAATACTAGAATGAGAAGAATGCATTTAGGAAATATCTGTATCTTTTTCAGCTGGCCTCAATTTTGAGTCTATCTTCCTTAAGCCGCAGAACATCTCTGCTGAGAGCAAAATTCCCTTGGTCGTCTACCCTCACGGTTAGTAATACTGCTGTATTTGATTAAGGGTGGAGACCTCAATTTCGATGTGTTGCACTGTTTTCTAAATTTTATATTAAATATCTAGGAATTGACATCACAATCCAGTTCTGCACAGGCACAGGCAAGGCACGCATTGCATTGAATGAGAAACTGAAAGTGATTCTGTTTCTCCTCCTCTCTCTATGCTGACTTCACAAGCTGAAATGAGTTATAATTTAAATCAAACCATTACTTTCACTATTAAGTCTCCATTATTCTGATCTTGGTGACTAATAGTCTCCATCATGTCAGACGTGATGGTGATTACCTGCCAATCAATGTTCCAGGGGGTTGGTGTAAGGGTGAATGTTCTATTCTAGAGCGTCGCGAGCTTGTTTAAAGCACAGGAGGAGGAAAGAGAGTGGCGAGGGGCACAGGTGAGCATGGGAAATGCCCCGGTATATGTGCACTGGGCTGTTCACCCCTTAAGGACACATAAGATGTGTGACATGTCATGATTCCCTTTTATTCCAGAAGATTGGTCCTTAAGGGGTTAAAGCACCATTAATAGAAGTTCTGCCTGCAACGTTCCGACTCAACCTTGACAAAGTCCATGAAGTTGGGTTGAAACGTTGCTGGTTCCACACAGGTGGAGTACATCTCTTTGATATTTACCTTTGGTGTTGCGGCTCCTTTATTGGTTTTCTTCTATATGTGAGGCAATTGAGAGTCTTTTTTTTTTTCACCCAAACTTGTGCAGGCAAACATGATTTATAATTACAACAGACATTTCAGTTTCCAGTCAGTACTAACCACAAACTGAAATGCTAGTTATAATTATAAATCTCGTCCTGCACAGATTTACACAACAGTTTAATGCAGACAAAACAGCCGTCCATGGAAGTGTCCTTTAATAGCCCTGTGCATAGAGGCAAAAATTAGGGACTGTAAAATTGCAATATTAAGTAAGGTAGTAAGTATTCTGAATACAAACCGCAAGTGCGGTGTCCCATGACCTCATCAGTTCCCTGCAGCAATTAAATTGTGTTTTCAAGTCTGTTTAACTAAGTTCTAATTAAGGGTCAGTGCGTTGCGAGGCCCATGTTAGCGGAATATTATAGTTAGCTCTTATTATATCCTGGTGTTGTGGGTCCAATATCTTTATTTGATTGGGGATGTTCTCACAAACAGGTAATGATAAGCATACTTCATTTCTGACTTGGTGTTCTCTCCTTTCAATGTCAGCTACTTTGTTCCTGCAGCTCAGCTCACTGGCCAATACTGCTAATGGCTGAACTGTATGTGTACAAGAGTTAAGACACAACTATGTTAGAAATGAGAGTGTAGCCGAAGAAAAGCTATACACATTTAATTATGCAAATAAATTGAGCATACTATTGAGGCCAAGAGTTATGATACAATAACGTTTTTTTGTTCTCAGAATCTGCTTTAAAATATATTGGATATGTAAACATAATATAAAAAATTTCTTTGTAGGAAACGGTCACCACCAAAATATTATAAAGATTTTTTAAAGTTTTATTTTTTATTATTCATTAAACAATTCTACTGTGTCAAATAATTTCTTCTCCACTTCATGTATTTGTAATATACAGCGGTAATTCTTTTTGGTGTTTCAGTAATCATAAGAAACAAAAAAACACAGATTAACACTAATTTGTTTAGTGCTTATGCTTTATCGTTAATGGTCTGTAAATGTAATCTAAAACTAAATTGCTGATAGTATACTTTTAAGTGATAGATTTCCTTATTCTGTTCCAATGTCTACCTCACCTAGGAGGCCCACACTCTGCCTTTGTCAGCGAATGGATGCTTTTTCCGGCTATGATGTGTAACATGGGTTTAGCTGTACTACTAGGTGAGTGTCTTTAAAGGCAACCCGTCATTATTATTATTATTATCTATTAATAAATCCTAATGTATAGTGGTCAGGCTCGTCAAAAATTCAGTGTTGAATAGTTTCAATCCTCTAAATACTGCACAGTCTTAGCAGATAAGTTTTATTTCAGATTAAAAAGTATTAAAAATGGCTGTTCCATAAACAAGGGTAGACCGGGAGATACTATTTTATGCTATAACTTCTTATTAGCAATTATATAGCACTGACCTATTCTGCAGTGCTTTACAATTCCAAAATGGGCATAGCATATCTGATCACAAGTAATTGAAATAGAAAATACTGACCGAAAGAAGAGTTGGTTGGTATGTAAGTCTATATTTCATATAATAGTTTATTTTCAGTATGATAAAAAATAGTTTTCCGAGTCACCTTGGGCACATTCCTGCACAAATCGTGGGACTGTCCTAAAATCCAACCTTTCTGGAAGGCAATTAATACAAGTTTATGGAAGTTCTCGGACAAACCACCACCTTGCAAACCTGTGCCATTCCGCCTACATCACACCACCACTCCAACCGCTAAATACAAAAGATCTATGTCCATAGGAATCCTGAACACGGCCAAACAGATTATACTCCTCTACTGGAAAAAAGAGAAACTCCCGCCCCTGACGTGGTTTGACAAAATGGAGGGTTTACGACGGTTAGAAGAGCTGACCGTTGCATCCCAAGGCCACACACAGGTTTACGCAGACATTTGGACACATTGGCTGCTGAACGCTTACCACCCAGTCCTCCAACCACTACCCTTCTCCCCAAAACACAACCGTGGGGTCAGGGATGATATAGGAGGTGTAGGCCGGATGGAGGGATAGACCTTGGGTCACTGGTAGTGAGTAGCTGATTAATGGATAGGATGAGAGGAGCCTTATGATATGTGACGAGGTGGAAGTTGACTTGCCTATCACGTTAGGGTCATCACTCATTCCCTGATACATGACGAGACTAGGTTACAATGGGAAGAATTAGCCGTGATCAGTGACTCGAAGTTAGGGCCTGCCCAGGGATAACTGTTAGGCCCCGGAAGTCAGGGACACCGGTTGCAAAAGATTATACCATCTGATTACTGGACTGTGCTAAATAATGCTGAAGGACTCGAGGGTCCCAGATTGTAATTTTCAGGCACTTGCCAACCATATCCTAGTCCCGAGACAATGCTTATGTTATAGACAAGGCTTGCTCTATGATGGTTGACTAGGCCCATGGGACTGGGAGGGCGTCTCAGAGTGCATATACAAACTGTTTTTATGCAAACTCTTGGGTCCCGGTTTATGTCTTTCTTTTCTTATTTTTGTTGAAGCTACCTCAGCCCTGCACGGCTGTATGTAATGTTACTGTATACCTTCTAAAATGATTACCATTGACACATCTGTTTTGAGAATTGTAAATGCTTTAAATGTGGTAACTAATAAAACTTTTCATTCACACACACAAAAAAAATAGTTTTCCTTTTTAATGACTTTCTTTAGTGAATTACTTTTTTCAGCTAATGCAAACCTTTTTCCTTCTTATGTTGCTTAGTAAATTATCGAGGATCAGTGGGCTTTGGACAGGACAGCATTCTTTCCCTGCCAAAGAATGTCGGAGAGCAAGATGTCAAAGATGTTCAGGTAACTATGCTCAGTTGTTACTGGTTTAGCCCAATTGTGACTGAGCTTTTTCAAATGTTCCGTGTTTATAGAGTGTGACAATTTTTTGCACTTTTGCTGTGCATCTGTTCCACTGTACTTTTCCATTTAGCAGATCCATATATATTCTATATTGTTTTTTTTTTGTGTGTGTGTGTGTGTATGTATGTATGTATGTATGTATGTGTGTGTGTATGTGTATATATATATATATATATATGATTTTTTAGGGCTGCTAATTATACAGCCTAACCCTAGCTCACTATACCGAACCCTATGTAATCTTTACACTAAGCCTAACAATGGACTGTTTAGTAGATTGACCTCCAAGTTGTATGATCACTTTGAGATCCAATGAAATCCTAATTTCTATGTCTGTTTCCTGCTGCTCAGGACCGGTTCCATTTAACACCTCTGTGCAGTTATTGCTGCAATTATTCCCAGTGTTCCACCCCATCCTGAAACCTCTCTGCTATGATTTTTCTAAACTTTGCCTTTACAGTTTGCAGTGGAGCAAGTTCTGCAAGAAGAATCTTTGGATCCAAACAGGGTCATAATATGTGGAGGATCACACGGTGGCTTCTTGTCGTGTCATTTGATTGGTCAATACCCAGGATTCTATAAAGCATGCATTGCTCGCAACCCAGTGACTAACCTGCTCTCAATGTTTGGATCAACTGATATACCAGACTGGTAAGGTGACAACATAGCTTACTTAACCACATCTTTCCTTCAATTTAAAATCAATCTCTTGGCATGTTAATAGGTCTTCTGCTCTTATCTAGGTGTTTGGTGGAATCCGGTATCCCTTACTCTTACCAGGCTGCACCGAATCCTTCTCAATATGGGGAAATGTTAGATAAATCCCCTATCCGATATGTCTCTCAGGTATGTCTTATGCACATAGAAGAGAAAAAATGGGTACTCCGTAACCAGTAAAGAAAGTGTTTTAGATATTGCATTGTTAACGGGTTCGTCGTGTGATGGAAGGATTACTGAAGGTATTGCTAGATGATGTGGAGATAGTTGTAATTCTGTAATGATGGCTCATTTAAAATGAAATGGTACTAGTGAACGTTATTTTTCTTGAATAGTGTGTCCTAATACTTCTAAATAACAGTGCAAAAACAAACATTTGGTTGTCTGTCATTCATAAAAATTAGCAGAAAAGTTATTTAACCCCTTAAGGACACATGACATATGTGACATGTCATGATTCCCTTTTATTCCAAAAGTTTGGTCCTTAAGGGGTTAAAAAGGTTATCCCAGGACAGCATGCACAATGTCTCAATAGTGTATGGTCATTTAATTTTTGTTTTGTTTTTTGTTTTTTTTTGCACAAACTGCCATAGAAACAAACTTACAATCTTAAACAAATACACGAGTGATACCAGCATATGCAACAAAAACATGTTAATGTATGTAAAAGCAGCTGGGTAACTTGCATCATGAAAATAATTTTAACATTAGTAAAATCTGGTTGGTTTGGCTTATTTTTTTATTTTTTTTTACAAGCATTGCCAAAAGCAAGAACCGGTCTGGGACCTTTTGTTAAGGAAAAATTAGTGAGCATAAATATTAGAGAATCAAACCTTTTTTGGATTGGAAAAACACCTCATGTTACTAGATCACAACATAAGAAAAAGGCATTAAAAGTTCCCTTAAGCTTTAAAGTTTCACTTTAGCTTGCTGTAGCACATACAGTTAAAAAAATAAATGTTAAAACATGTGTGCATGTGTATATACATATATATTAAAATTCCCTCGTTTATTTAATTTTATAGAACTTTAACATGTAAAGTCTGAAGTCTAAGCCATTTAAACTCATTGCATTGATGCTGTTCTTAGGTTAAGACCCCGGTCCTATTAATGCTGGGAGAGGATGATCGCCGAGTGCCGAACAAGCAGGGCCTGGAATATTATAGAGCATTGAAAGCTCATGATGTGCCTGTACGGTAAGTACAAGTCACATACTGTTCAGCTGCTTAAAATCTCATTTTGGTTAATCCTCCTCTACTCACATGAAGTTGTAAATCCAATACTTTTTTACATGTTCCACTTTCTTACAGGCTTCTTTGGTACCCTGGAAATAACCATGCACTAGCCAAGGTGGATGCAGAATCAGACAATTTTATGAATATCGCACTGTGGATCCAGAAATGGTTAAAATAATGCTTTACATTGCCATGGGTCCAAATGGTTACATAATTAACATTCAAAGATGTAGGAAGAGCAAAGAAGCAAGCTCCAGTGCAAGGGTGTATAGTAACAAAGTTTTTATTTTTTGTTATTGCAAATTTTTATGCTTCACTTATTGGAAAATTAAGCATTGGTTAAAAAGGGGGTAACTTTGTTTGGGGAATTTGGGGTGTTAATTAATTGCCAATAAAAATCAGTGGTGTCACCTCCGTGAACGGGTCTGTGAACCAATCTGGTTCCCTTTACACCCACTTCCTGGATTGTGGGAGGATTATTGAACATTGTACAGTGATCTGGACAAAAGAACGATCTCTGTACCAACGACAGAGGCAAGCTCTGTAATGTAGTGCTCAGATTGAGCAATTTACAGGGTGCTATGCGGTCTCACTCTCCTTTAGATCAAAAGTTGCACAGTTACTGCATCCTTGTGATTCTCGTTTTTTGTATTTTTACAAGCAATAAAAAAAAGTTACAAAATTGTTCAATTTACCATTTTAACTATTCTTTATACACTTATTATGCATTTTAAAATGTAATGTTATTTTTTTTAAATTGATCTTAAACTATGAATAAATATTTTAGAAACACTCTACACATTTAAAAGCTGCACAGTTTATCTTCTCATAGAATACTAAACATTTATTTAAATCCACTGCACTACAGTTGTGCACTTTGGAGACAATGGGCCAGCATTCAAATGCTTTTCACACCTTAAAGGGACACTTTAGGCACCTAGACCACTTCTGCCCATTGGAGTAGTCTGGGTGCCAACTCCCACTACCCTTAACACTGCAAGTGTAATTATTGCAGTTTATAAAAAACCGCAATAATTACCTTGCAGGGTTAAGTCCTCCTCGAGTGGCTGTCTACTAGACAGCCACTAGAGGGCTATTTCGTGTCTATAGCACAGGTTTTCTGTGCTAGAGCGTCACTGGAAGTCCTCACGCTGTGTGAGGACCTCTAGCATCACTCAATTCCCCAATAGGAAAGCATTGAAAGCATTTTCAATGCTTTTCTATGGAGAGCTCTAATGCGTGTGCATGCGCATTAGGTCTCCTTAGCCGGCGGGCGGGATCAGTCTCGCCCACCGGCTGATGTAAGGAAGAGGAGGAGCGGCGGCGAGCAGAAACCACCGCCGAAGGACATCGGCAGGGTGTCTCAGGTAAGTGATTGAAGAGGTTTCAAATGACAACACAATTGGCCCTGGCTGATGAAAAGACAACACAGCAACTAGCTGCCTCAGACACCTCATCTAAAATCCATATGGTTTTCTTAACTGCTCCCCCCTTTAACCCCTTTTACTCCTACTACCCTTCAACTTTTCCCCTCTTCTTTCCGAGTAACATTGCACATATCGCTCACATGTTCAAATAACCGACAACAGCGCTCATCCGTGTCCACACTTTTCCATCAACTGCCACACAACCTCACACCATCCACCAGATCTCAACTCGCCACACGCTTACCTTTTCCTCCGACCTAATCTTTTCCCAAGTGATTTCTGACTTTGCTGCACCATCATGGACGAATTCATAGACAAAACACCTTCTTAAAGATATCAAGGGAAACCGCAAAGAAGCCGCATCTCAAAGAACCTACGTTACCTTCTACTCCACATCTCTCTCAAACAGACTCAGAGGCAGAAGAGGGTCCATCCCAAGCGCTTTTCCAAGCAACTCCTGTATCACGGCAAGCATCTGAGTCAGCACAATAAGTCTCCAATCTACACAAACCAATTTTTGAAACATAATTTAAAGACCTCAAAGGGTCTATAAATAATTCTCTACATCTCCTACAAGCTCACTCATCCCAACTCACGCTCTTAGAAACGCCACCCGGCTTTTAGAGCATAGCTGAAGGACTCCTTTTACTAGAGTATCGTCCCTGCTATGCTCCCTCGCACGCCTGCCAAGGACTCAAGTAAAAGGAGTTTCATAGTTAACAGGGCATGGCAAGCCTACCATTTGAAAAACCTGGCATGGAATGTTTGGTTAAGTACATTCTTTTAGTATGTTTGCTCTGCCGGTCTAGTGAAAATAAGGAGAATTTAAAAGATGAGTTGAAAGGGCAATTGTCTTCATAGACTTTATTTTATTTTAAATTATTTTTAAATATCAGCAGTACGATGGTCATATTCACTAAAGTGAGAATTTAAAGTGCATTCCAAATTTAAGGTCAAAATAGCTATGCTTCCAGTTGAGCTACTTTATTTTACAATACAATATACATCATTATGGTATTTCGAGATTGTAAGCATCAACATTTTAGCAATACATGACTAGGTAACGCACGATTTGTTATTTCTCAAATATATACGCTGAGCTACACTGTGGAGTTTCAAGCAAGCGTCGGACACAGTGTGATGGTTCATGTAGCGTCAGGTTGGGTTTTTTTTTTCAACTATGCGAAGAAAGTCACACTAGGGGAGTGATTCGGGTTTGTGTTGCATATAGATATAGTTGGTTGCGTGAAGGTTTGCGAGAAGAAACAGTACCTGCTACTACCTGTTGGATCAGATAGTGTGGTATTACAGTATTGTGTGCAGTTTGAATACGAGAGATGACTGGTACCCACAAGTGTGGTGGTACATCAGGTATATCTGGGAAAGTATTACCCCTGACCCTTGAGGAAGAGGGTGGTTCTCTTAGCACTTACTTATGACCATGTGAGCTATTGGTCTCGAGATTATATATATATATATATATATATACACACACACACACACAGCTGAATGGTGCCGTATAGGACGCCCTCAGGACAAGCAAGAGCCTGAAAATTCACAGGATCCCTCAGATAAGGCTAAATTAATAATAGTTATATTTACTCCCTGATTCCCAGTTTTATGTCTTTACTAATATTGAGTGCCTTAAATCTGCATAATATTTACTGACAAGCTGTGGGACTTAGTCTTCCTGAGACATTTTTTTGTTTTTGTTTGTTCTCTGAAACTGCTATGTTTATAAAAGAATGAGTTAAGCCTAGCTGGATCTGGCACCCAGACCACTTAATTAAACTGAAGTGGTCTGGGTGCCTAGAGTGGTCCTTTAAGTTGCCATACCTAAGCAAGAGTATGTGAAAAGTAGTAGGGGTTGCCACCTTTCTGGGAAAAACATACCGGCCTTACTAATTTGCACAATTAATTATGTATGGGTGACATCACATGCTGTAAATCACAAGGAGTGACATAAGAGAAAATGCTGTAAAATCACCAAAAAACTACTTGGTCTGATTCTGCTGTATAGATGGATTGCTCCCAGTGTCTCAGTTTCCCCATGTCTCCCAGTGTCCTCATGACTCAATGTCCCTATGTGTCGATTACCCCAGGTCCCAGTGCCCCCTAGTGTCGTGTCCCTAGGTCTCCCAGTGACCCTATGTATCACAGTGTCTCAATGCCCCATGTCTCCCTGTGTCCCCCAGTATTCCCATGTGTCTGTCCCCATGTCTCCCAGGGTTCCCATGTCACTAGGAACACAGGGAGACCTGGTGACACTAGATGGGAGACATGGGGACATTGAGACACTTGGGGGCACAGACACTGGGGGACTAGGGGGCACTGGGTGCAGGACTACCACCAGAAATTTTGGGGCCCCTGACAAAGAACAAGGTCAGGGCCCAGTGTAGTGAATGCAGAGTGTGTGTGTGTTTACTAGTGTATGCATGTTGTGTAAATTGAGCATTCCCCCCACCCACATTAAATGTAATAAAAGCTATTCACCCCTCCCTGCTTCTTACCTGGTGCAGGGAGGGGGGAGATTCCATCCCTGCTGGTTCAGTGGCATGGTGGGCCCCCCGGCTCCCTGTATTTGCAAAGGGGGCCCAGCAGACTGCAACTGTATGTTACAGCTCTTCCCTCTCTCTAACTCCCGCAAGCGTTGCATGTGTGTGTGCTGCGCGGAGCGTTGCCATGGTAACCCGTGGCAACGCTCTGACGGCCGCGGATGTCGCTGGAGTTACAGAGAAGGAAGAGCTTGTAAGTACACTTGCAGTTCGCTGGGCCCCATTTACAAGTATAGGGCCGCTCCAAGCAGGGGGGTCCATTACCTGATTTCAACTGATGCTTCTGAGGTGAATGAGAGAGAAGGAGAGGCTGACTGAAGAATGATATAATTAAATTTCAATAAAGGGTAAGGGATGGGATAACTTTTTTTTTTTTCCCTTTTGTGCTCTCTCTTTCTAAAACTTTCTAAACTTTTCTAAACTTTCTAAATTTGTCTTCCACTCTTGATGCCTTGTGTATATGGCAATTATCTTGCGGTGCCTTGTTTTGGGAAGGTACCCGTAGAGACATTTGTACCCTAAGTAATGGGATTTCCTACGATATTAATGTATTTTTGTTTGTTTTTCTGTAATGTGACTAAGTTTGGCGACTGGACTCGGGACAGGGGGAACTGGGGACCAAGGGAGAATAACAATCTGGGAATATGGTTAGAATGGCAACAATTAATGCCCAGGGACCCAATTCTCCGTTTAGGGGAGCTGTTTTTTTTTGTTGTTGAATATTTAAGGAAACAGAAAATTGACGTGGAGAGTCCAGGAAACTCACTGGAGAAAGAGATAGAATATAGATTTAAAATCTAAAGTTTGCCCAGTGGTTCTGTCTGCATCTCTCGAGCATCAAAAAAAAATAAAAAAATAAATGAATTGAATTTTAAGAACATCGTTATGGAACAAGATAACGAGGGGAGATATATTATTGTTGTATGTGAGATCGATAATATAACTTGTACATTAGTCAACCTTTATGCTCCAAATCAGTCATCGATACCATTTATAAGCAATGTTTTAAAGAGAATAGAAGTGATTAAACAAGGAATATTGTTGATTTTAGGCGACTTCAACTACATACTTGATCCATTAATGGATAAAAAAAACAAAAAAAAAAACCTTTTACTGGTCAGATTAGAGAAAGGAATAATAAGACATTCCCAGAAATTCACACAATTTATTCAAAATTACTCTTTACTAGATATTTG